GGCTACGAATTTCAGTTTGTGGTAAATCTGTCTGTCCCCGGCAGCTTCAGATGAAATAATTTTATCCTTCTAGAGCACATCAATTTGCTAGTCAGTGGTTCATGTATCAAAGAGCATTCTGTGAAAATATCAATATCATTGGTTAATATAAATGAAATTAATTTTTAAAGCTGGGCTAAAGGTTGACATCTGAAAAATTGCATTACTTTGCAGAAGAGAAATTTCTGTCTTCCACTGAAATTTCAGGTCATAAGGGCAAGTAATTTTCACAATCTTCAATGGGAACAAGTGAAATATGAACTTCATTGTCACCTAGCCCCAAAGCGATAAGATAAAATGAGCTGATACATCATTTGCTGTGGTTTTATCATCTCCTCTAGTAATTGGAAGAGAAAACATTAGAGTCCTTAACCAACCCCCTCCCCAGTCCCTTCACCACCCACACCCAGGCATAAGCCATTTTGCTCTGATCGATACAAAGGTCACAGAGTATTTATTTATTTATTTAAATTTTTTCTGTTGTGTAAAACTGTCTAGTGGAACATTAAAGTAATGAATATGTTTAATTGAGTTTGTCACACATGAAAATGCTGAACAGCATTGTGTAGCAGACTCACAGGAGGGACTGGATGGGAGACCTGCTACTGTTTGCCTGTGGGTTTCGGTGGCTGATTGTATAAATATCTGAGATTTAAAATGAACATCTTGTTCGTTGTTCTCTTGAGAAAGCTAAAACAAACTTGTAAGCACTATGATTTATTGAAGAACATTTGGATATTTAAAATTATTAGTAATCTGATCTAATTCCCTATTAGTTTAGCTGTACTTGGATGTATTTAAACGAAGAGCAGAGTAAGACCCTTTCAGTGTGAATCCGGCAGCCAGGAACTAAAAGTACCTGGACAGTAGGATCTGACGACCCTCAGTTGCAGGGCTGAGATTGTGGTGGAGATCCAGATTCCTCATGAACAGAATCAGGATTTGTAATCGCCAAGTGCTGTAATTTTGCCTTCCTGAACAAAAATGACCAATTCTGCTGCTAGAAGAATGTATTTATCGATTTTATCTCTCAACTGCAATCAAATTTAAGCGCAAATTAAATGCTTTATTTTTTTTATTTGGTGATATTTGTTTTGGGGCTTGTTTGTCTAGTACATCATAACTTTTTTTTTTAAATATATAAAAGTACATCGGATTTTTAAATAAGCTATTTAGTTTTTAGTTTACTTGTGGCAGTTAAATTGGCTGGCACATTAAAGTAATATAATTATTCAATTACTGTTTCAGTTCTGTAACCCATTTGCAGACTTAATTAATTCCAGCCTACTCACATTTTCAAGATCGATAGTACTTTTCTCTAAAGTAAAATAAAGTGTATGATAGCTGATTGGTTTGCTTAAAAGGTAAAGCAAAATGTTTGTTTAGTCTTCAGTAAAATACTACTTTTCTAATATAGGAAGCAGCTGTAGTGATGGTATCTTCTAACTGTTGCGTGTAATCTTTTACAAGAGACTTTGTTTATGATCAACATTCAAGGAAGGTTTTGAAGAAAAGGTAGGGTGGGACATTTGTTTTCAAACCCATAAAATGTCAGAATAGCTTCCGAGTAAGCATTTTAATGTTGGGAAATTAGCTGATACACAACTGTGGATTATGAAGAGAGGACTTCCTTATGTATCATCTTAACTTGTGATCGGCACCGTGCTACCTGTGTTTTCATGAAACTCTTGTTTCAAAATCTCTTCAAAGTGGAAATGGATATTCTTTACTTACTAGTTGCTTGGGGAGTTTCTTCCAGCTGTGCAGCATTGGGGCCTGCAGCATGAGTGTGAGGACTGATTACAAGTTTAGATCTTCATTTCTATTGAAGGAAAGAAGGCACTTCATGCAAAGGTGGAAGCCATTTTGCATTTTTAGTAGTGTTGTCATGCCGTCTGTTCATCTGGTGTTGCCAAAGTCTAATCACAGAAGAGTTTGTCTAATAAGATTTTTGGAACTGTAGAACTTTACAATTGGATCTTTTGTTTATTTGAAGTATTTTAAAATTAAATGGTAAACTGTATAATTTGTCTTTCCTCCTGTAAGGTGCAGTATCTTTTGAAATAAATGAAATGTGCAGTAGATTAAACTTCAGTCTGATGTGTTGAATCAACTGAAATTCTATAAGCACTTTTTCATGTTGGGAAGGTGGTACTATTTGTGCAGATTAGATTAGATTGTATACTCTCATTAGTCTTTGCTCCAAGAATTGTTCCAAAACTGGTGGTGACAAAAGATGGAAAGAAATGAGTCATTTATAAATTCAGAATGTTGTGCAGTAGTATGAATAAGATAGTTGTTCTTAAATTCTTAAGTAGAATTCTGTGTTGGGTGGCTTATGGGTGAAAACAGGCAAGTGCAAAAATAGTTTTTGAAAGTTGTGATTCTGATAATATCAGAAGTGGAAACACCTATTAAAAAAATTAAAGAAAAAATCCCTTTGCCAGAATAAAAATGCTGAATTTAATTTGAAGTATGACTCAGTTTCTGCAACGAGGAAGTTCTATTAAAATCAAATATTTGACAGGGAATAAAAGGTTGGATTGGATTTTCATAAGGAATACTTAGCAATACACATGAAAGAAATGTGTTTGTCTTCTGGATCTTTCATCTACTATAGGTGGTGTGATGAGCGCGGAGCAGTGATAATGATGCAGTTTCCATAGCAACTGGTTCCTTGGCGGGCTAGACCTCTGTCTAGGGTGCTGTCAGCGTGCCTGGAGTTTCAGAGAACAGAGTGTCCCAAAGACGGTCTGCTTCCACCTAATCCAGTTTTAATTGAACTCCAGAGACTTTGAAGTGAAGCTGCAGACCAGGCAGACACTATTCCAACTTGAAATGAAGGCCTTACTCAGCTAGGCTTCAGCTGCCTTTCACTCCTGATAACTTCTGTTAATGAGTGGTTTAAGGAATTGTTATAGTGGTGACTGGTAGTGTTTCTGCTGTAAATGCTGTTATACTGAATTCAATAACTTCATCATAGCTGTACAAGGTGCACAATGTAAACCACCTCTGCTATTTTCAAGCTGGTGCTTTTCCTTCCAGTTTTGAAGAAGTTGTATGCAGCAAGCTTTTGGCCATGTGCAGGGTTTCCACTGTCAGAAAAAAATGCTCACTTCACAGGGTAAAAGTAATAATTATTTGACTTCCTGGTTTTACTCCTAGTATCCATGTAGTAAGTGTTTGAATTTGCAATGCACAGACTGATAGTGACAAGCAGGCTGTTGTGTTTTATTTGTTACTGCAGAAAAGCGGAGGTCATCACCTTCCTGTCTCAAAAATTAATCATTGAAATTACAAGCTCCAATTTAAAGATCGTAAAGTGGATGAATACCAGCAAAAGTACTATGAGATTTTTGTACACAAGCATTGCAACTTTGTCTCCTTTGTTACCTCTTTTGATGTTGTGCTCTTTAAAGGATATTTATATGCATGTGACAAAAGCCAACTGCAGTGGTTCTGAATAGCCCCACAGAATTATACAAATCTGCCAATTAGTGTGAATGTGTTATGGATGTGGTATGGAAAGTGTCAGCGAGGCCCAAATCTGTTAGTTTCCCAGTTCCAGAAATGATTAGCAACCATTGATAATCTCTGGTCCTTTCATCACATTTCTGGATTTTTGTATTGGAAGAATTATTCTTTCTTTCCTTCTCTTTCTGTGTGTGGGAGAGCCTTGGGAAAGAAATTGTCTGTGGCACTTGTACTGAGGGGCAGATAAGCCATTAAGTGAAAAGAAAGAAGGTGTGGGAGATGGTTTGCTTTAAACATTCTGATCTTATGTGCTATCTGCTTTTGGTTTGCTAGTCGTCTTTGCTTTTAATTCACAAAGGTGGTACAGTATTTTATACTGTGTTGTGTAGTGCTTTTATAATGGTGCTTCTGCTCTGTGCTAAAAAAATGCAGGTTATGTGTGAATGTGTGCTATATGTGAGGCAAAATCCTCCTTTGTTAGAAATCTATAAACAAGTGGTTGGGTTCATTAACAATCTTTGTTATGTTAAAGGCTTGAATTTCACTTTGTATTTTTTTATACACAATGTATTGCTCAAGTGAAATTGTAGTAAGTGATGTTAACCAGGATTATATCTGAATCTCCTTATCTGTGATGGATTTCTAAGTGCTTTTGTATTTGCTAAAATTGACAAATCTCAGATTTTCCTTTGCTTATGGTTTCTTAATGTGAGGCAGAGAAGTGCCGAATCTTGCTGTCCCTTAACACTTACATAATTAAGCTTTGAAATGAAAAGGAAGAAGTGAAGCAACAAAGAAACAAAGTGGCTGAGGACCGAAAATGGGATTAGTTTGAATTGTGAAGGCAGACTAAGCATCTCTGTCTGTCAGATGGGATGACAGGAATTGTAACAAGTTACTTTGACAACCGCTTACTCCATAGAGAGATTATGCTGAGTTCATTTGCAGGTTTGTGTTTAACCTTAGCTGACAAAATGATACTTAACCTCTTATACAGTTAACCTTTATAGTTCCAGAATTAATGAGTGTTGCCTTAACGATAAATGTAAGGAACATTTTTTTCTGTAAAGACATTTTTCTTGCTTATTTGCCACAGGCCTGTTATTACAATGCTAAAGTGAGTGCAGATACATGTAATGGCACTAGTAATACATTTCAGAATATGTTTTTATGCTTTGTTGAAGTGCCAAAAATTTCATAATGTTTCTGAAACGCCCTTGGTTATGGAAGATAGGGAGTTTTCTTTAAAGGAAAAAATACAAGCAAATTTTTAAAGACCTTGACATTAGTAGTTGAATTTAGAACTTCAGAAAATCCACTATAGGTTCATAGCATGATTTGAAGATTGAGCATATTTTAATTTTGCTGCAGGTTTTGCTCGTAATTGGTAGAATCCATGTCTGTGATTCAACCAGCTTCTCTTTTGCAAGATATTACCTATACTGACAACAAATTTCAAACATTCTCTCTCTGTGTCTTTCTACTAGATTCTGGCATATACAGAAGGACTCCATGGAAAATGGCTCTTTTCAGAGATTCGATCTATCTTTTCCCGACGTTATCTTTTGCAAAATACAGCACTGGAGATATTCATGGCAAATAGAGGTACTGTGAGTTTAGAGGAATGGCAAGTGTTGATCTGGGGACATGTGCATTCTGTTTGGCTGTTTAGTCATGTCTTTTTTGGTATGGATTTGTGTAGATAGTAGAAGGGCTTGGATTAAGTGTCCCAAAATTTAAGTTGTTATATTTTTGCAATTTAGTTTCTCCTTTTTTTTTTTTTTTCCAGTGAGTAATTATGATCAAACATGATAACTGGGAATTAGGAATACCTCACTTTCATTTATATCCACATGTTTTTTTCGCATTCTCTGGAAACTCTTGCTTAAGGCATACCTACCTCTGATCTGTTATGCATGAAGGGGTTTTCTCTGTCCCTTTGGAGGCTTAATAGTTGTAAGTTATGTACACCACGAACAACATAATGAAAGAACTTCACTACCAGGTTGGACCAGTGAGTGGTATACCTTCATGCCTTATTTCTAGTAATAATTTCTTTAAGTTAGACCCTAGTGCAACTCTAAGAAATAAATGTGGCTTTACCCTGTTTATGAACCCTTTTTTCAGCCTCCCCTTTCTTCCGTTCGTTTTTCAGACACACGTGTTCTGTTACAAGTCACTCAAAATGTCTCAAGTGCATTGAGACTTGAAGAATGTTCTTCTGCTATTTTCTCCCCCTAAATTTTATTTTAAACCAGTTATATGATGTCTTTCCACTTTAAATTTAGATTCTTCAGGCACTTTTAGTGCTTTTATGCTGATAATGAAATTTTGAAAAACAAATTTTGAAAACTGTATACAAAGATACAAAATAAAGTAGGTCTTAAGGTGACACTTTTAAAATGTAAAACATTGTTTTGTTGATGATGTGAAACGTTGTTGTCCTGAAATCAGTGAATGTTTCATGGGATAACATGTTTTATGCATTAGTATGCTAGTTGAAAAGGTTTTGTTCAAGCTTAAAATGGTCTCTAATCTTGAACATGGCTGGTAAGTATTCAGAAATGTATTTTGCAGAGCATTGCTGTGCATCTCTGAAGTGCATATTGTCCAACAATATTAGTCATGTGCATAAACACTTCCATATTTTGTAGTGGAGCCTGTCGTTGTAGTCTGTGAAGTCAGAAATGTCCACTGGTGATATCATAATTAGATTGTTGTTTACATTTTGAGGTTGCTATTTCATCAGTGTCGTTGAATGTTTCAAACAAAATATGAAGATAATATTTTGAATAATACATCTTGAAAATATTTAGAAAGTAAACTAGTAAATGTGTGATGCAATTAATATATAAACCCTTTTTTTATCAGTTCTAGACAGTCAATCTGTGCATATAGGTTTAAACTCTATTCAGAAAGGAAAACAAAGGTAGACCTTGTAAGATTTGTAACAGCAACAACTTCTGTTGTAACTCCTGTTAGTGGTAAATCAAAGCAGCTCTGGAAATTATAAAAAAATGTATCTATAGTAAATTGAAGGAAACATGTCTAATTTTTTACCTGTTCAGCACCTAAGCTTAGGGTTAAATTTTATTGGGCCAGAATGCCTAAAATAAAAGGTGTAAAATCATGGCATATTTCAACTCTTGTGTTCGCAGTGGGTGTCATGTTCAACTTTCCTGACCAAGCAACAGTAAAGAAAGTGGTTAACTGTCTACCTCGGGTTGGTATTGGTACTATCTTTGGACTACCTCAGACCAGGTATTTTATAATTTGAGCTAATTTTATCTGTTCTAAGAGTTCTTTTTTCATCAGACCAGCCTCGATGGTTTGATGGTTTTTTACACCCCCTGTTTTACAAAACATGCACATCCTCAGTCTATCACTTCTGCATGGTATTTATGTTGTGTTTGTACAATAAAAACTTTTGGATTTGAGATTTTTTTCTGGTTTCTGTCTCTTATAGGGAAGATAGCTTCTTTTTGGCAGTGAGACTCAATCAGTTGCCCTACTTAAGGAAAATAGGTTTCCTTATGCTTGCCAACTTACTAAAATTTAAGGCTGATTCAAGACTGGTTGTAGGACTGATTAGCTTTTATGGCAGTGTTGAATTATATTAGCTTGACTGTAACATCCTTGAATCATCTGTAGTACTTAAACATAGACGAAAAATGATCGTTCCTCATCAGAAGGATATTGTAGTGATGTGTAGAACAATATAAGCTGAACAGCATGTGAAAGATTGTTATCGTGTGCTTGCCCATTAGCTCTGGAAGACATTGTTCAAATTTTACATGCTGAGAAATGAGTATTGCAATGTGCAGCTGTGTGTTTGGTTCTTAAAACTGAAGAATACGATTCAGTTTGCTACATCTTTTTTAGCAGAAGGTTAGGGCTTGATTACCAGGTATGTTCTGGACAAAACATAGCAGCAGAGTTCAGTGTTCACTGAGGCTGATGGAAATAGAAGTTTCTGAGGTACACCCCATCTCTAGCTGGGTTGGTTCCCTCTTGTATTTTCATGAACTATAAACTACTTTTAAGTAGATAAATTTATAAATTTTTCGAAGAAATGGCAACCTTTAAGGAATATTTTGATTGTTGTTATTTTAAATTTTTATTTTTTAAAGATTTCTGTGCAGTGAAATGGCATTAAAATAGTTGGGGATGTTTTCTGTTGTGTCTTGTAGGGTTTTTTTTTTAATCAATTCCAGAAAAAAATTTCTTGAATTGCAATTATAGCCACTCTCTAAGAACTTAAGTAATTCTATTCACAAAAGCAAATTATGTGTGAAAATTTTTAAATATATGTGAAAGTGTAGACATATTTGTTCAAATTTTCACATCAATTTATACTAATAAATTTGTTTACAATATAATGCAGTTTATTAAAATAAAAAAACTCAGTTATTGTACCCGTTTCTTTAGTTGTTTACTAATGCCTGTAAAGATTTGTTAATAAAACTACATCTAGATTTTTTTTACCCCTAAATGATGTGGCTCTGGTATTTGCAGATGTTTTTATTGTGAACAAAAGAGTCTTGAGAATTGTATGATAAGCTCTTCTCTGCTTGATTTATCACTGCAAGGAATGACTCTATGGTATTCTTACACAAACATTAGGAAATCTGGCATTAAATTCTGAAAATTTAATTCAGTTATGTATGACTGACTCGCCAACACTGCCCAGAATTTAAATCTCAAGAGGATGGACTTCATAATGAAGTTCTATCATCTTACATTATTTTCCTGTGTTCTCAAGGGATTTATAAACCTCTCCTAAAAGATGACTTTATTCTTATGTGAAATTCTAAAGCTCATGGAGTTTTCTTATTTAATGGTCTACCATCACTCTAAATCAACGGTAACATATTTCTGTAATACATCAAGCCTTCATGGAACAGCTGAATTTGCACAGCTGCAAAGGTTTCTGTTTGAAAGCTTTCAAATCATGACATGTCCATCTGTCAGATGTTTTAAGTCTTTTGTTCTTAATAGATTATGAAACTTTTAAAAATGAACTTCAAGCATCCAAAATAGCAATTTGATCTCCAGAGAAATCTAGTATATAACTAGTAAAAAGAATATGTACAGCTGACAGTAAAATTCAGATAGGTAAAATGATAGACCCACGAGTTTTTCTCATTATTTTTTCCAATTTGTTTTCCAGACGCATTTCTTTGGCTAGTCCACGACAGATTTTCAAAGCTTCCAATATGACCCAGCGATGGCAACATCGAGAAATTTCCAACTTTGAATACCTGATGTTTCTAAACACTGTAGCAGGTAACACAAATTACTACAATGACTCAGAAAAGGAATTAATGGTTGTACAGTCTCAACAGACATGTGACATTATTAGATTTTGCCCTTTTAAAAATTAACTTTTTCTAGGCACAATTTTCTCCTCAAGAACAACTTTACAAAATCATCCTAAATCAGAGAATCACAGAATGTTAGGGGTTGGAAGGGACCTCTGGGAATCTAGTCCACCCCCCTGCCAAAGCAGGGTCACTTAGAGCAGGCTGCACAGGACCTCATCCAGACAGGTTTTGAATATCTCTGGAGAAGGAGAATCCACAACCTCTCTGGGCAACCTGTTCCAGTGCTCCATCACCCTCAAAGTAAAGAATCTCTTCCTCGTGTTCAGATGGAACATGGAACTTGTAACTTATTGAGTGCTCCATCACCCTCAAAGTAAAGAATCTCTTCCTCGTGTTCAGATGGAACATGGAACTTGTAACTTATTGTGCTTTAATTTGTGCCTGTTGCCCCTTGTCCTGTCACTGGGCACCACTGAAAAGAGTTTGGCACCATCCTCCTGACACGCACCCTCAAGATATTTATAAGATCCCCTCTCAGCCTTCTCTTCTTCAGCCTAAACAAGCCCAGCTCCCTCTGCCTTTGCTTATAGGAGAGATGCTCCAGTTCCCTACTTAATGTACCCCAGGATCCCACTGGCCTTCTTGGCAACCAGGGCACACTGCTGGCTCATGGTCAACTTGATGTCCACCAGGACACCCAGGTCCCCCTCTGCAAAGCGGCTTTCCAGTAGGTCAGCCCCAAGCCTGTACTGGTGCAAGGGATTGTTCCTCCCCAGCTGCAGGACCCTGAACTTGCCCTTGTTGAACTTCATCAGGTTCCTCTGCACCCAGCTCTCCAGCCTGTCCAGATCTCGCTGAATGGCAGCACAGCCTTCCAGTGTATCCACCACTCCTCCCAGTTTTCTGTCATCAGCAAACTTGCTGAGGGTACACTCTGTCCCTTCATCCAGGTCATTGATGAAAGAAGCTGAACAAGACTGGGCTGAGTACTGACCCTGGGAAACCCCACTAGTTACAGGCCTCCAAGTACAGTCTGTGCCGCTGATGACAACCCTCTGAGCTCTGCCATTCAGCCAGTTCTCAATCCACCTCACTGTCCACTCATCCAGCCCACACTTCCTGAGCTTCCCTAGGAGGAGGTTATGGGAGACAGCATCAAAAGTCTTGCTGGAGTCAAGGTAGACAGCCTCCACTGCTCTCCCCTCATCTACCCAGCCAGTCGTGCCATCATAGAAGGCTGTCAGACTGGTCGAGTATGATTTCCATTTGGTGAATCCATGTTGACTACTCCTGATAACCTTCTTTTCCTCCACTTGTTTGGGGATGACATCCAGAATGATATGTTCCATCATCTTTCCAGGGATGGAGGTAAGGCTGGCCCGCCTGTAGTTCCCTGGGTCTTCCTTCTTGCCCTTTTTGAAGACTGGAGTGACTTTGGCTTTCCTTCAGTCCTCCAAAACCTCTCATGTTCTCCAGGACCTTTCAGAGATGATGGGGAGTGGCTTAGCAATGACATCTGCCAGCTCTGTCACCACTCATGGGTGCATCCCATCGGGGCCCATGGATTTGAGTTTGCTTAATGATCTCTAACCCGATCCTCCTCGACCAAGGGACGGTCTTCCTTTGTGCAGACTTTCTCTCTGTCTTTCCTAAAAAAGTCTGTAGCCGTCTATGACAACATTCCAGTCATGTGAGCTGTCCCACCATGTCTCTGTAATTGCAATGAAATCATGGCCCTGCGACTGCACATAGATCTCTAGTTCTTCCTGTTTGTTCCCTATGCTGCATGCATTGGTGTGGAGACATTTCAGAGGGGTATGTACTTTATGTACTAAATGTACTTTATTCATAATTATGTTTATGTAAAAACAGAGAGGCATGTAGTTCTTAATGCTGTACTGAACTGCATTTGAAATATCTCTAAAGTCAGAATATCTTGACTGTTGTGAGAGGACAGGATCTACATAGACTGTCTGCTCTATTTAGGAGAGTCTCAGTATTAGTAACTTCTTTGTCCCTTAGTATTCGAAGTTTTAATAATCAGAAGTGCTATCCTCCCTAAATACTGCTGATGCAACAAGTTCTCCATAGAACTGGAACTCTCTGGGAAGTCTCAGCTGGGGAGCAGGATATTCCTGGAGCCAATAAATACTACTGTTACAAGATACATGGTTGGTCTTGGACAAGAGTGTAGTGCCCGGGTCACTAGCTCTGCTGTGTCAGGACACCATTCATCCATTCCCAAATCCTAATTCATACCCCTCTATGGTTGTCCTAACCCCTCATTCTGTAAATGCTAACCTTTATTTCATTTAACCCATTTTACCGTGCTAGCTTCTAACCAACTCGAATTTGGTTTAGTAGATGGAGGCTAATTGTTAGGTCTCATGACCTCTCTTTTATGTTCCAACATGGTTTGTTCTCAGAACAATTTAACAAAATTTCTCTATTTTCAGCTCTTTTCTATGGTATTGACAGTATTGAAAGGTCCCTTAATTCGCTATCAGGCTTGCCTCTTGCTAACTTGATTGATATAACAAATGCCTCTGCTCACACTAGTTAAATTTTATACAGATGGTCAGTTTTGCTTCTGCACAATACCATAAAAAGAGACAGGATCTGTGTAAAAATGATGCATTTTAAAATTATAAACCAGGGTATGTGGTGTATGTGTATGTATGGTATATGATTATTCTGATTGAGTATTTTGTTTTTACTGGAAGAAAGGTATTATTTCCATCTTACAGATGCGTGAAAGTGCACAGGTGAACCTGAAACCAGAACTGATTCTCTGTTCTGGTAAATGTTGGCATATCAATAATGGTCAGTGGTCAAGGAAGAATTCGCTTCAGAGCGAATTCTCTGGATGAAATGGTTACTACTTGCATAATTTCTCAATCTAAAATCTTCAGCTGCTTCATTCAGCTTTCCCATATTGAATTTAGTACAATATGTAAAAATATTGGTTTAATTTTCAGTATCAACAAAAGTAATTGCCTCTCCATTTTTTGAAGTGTTTCACCTTAAAGAAAAAGAAGACAAGATGACATAAACAAGGAAACGAGAGATGCATAGAAAATGAATGGATTTAACTGTCACTCTTACTGTATGCAAAAGAGTTTACAATTAAAGTGAAATGCACTGCAATGTTTTGGATTAAATACTAGCAATTTGTGCACTTTTTCATTGTCCTTTTCAATAAAGCAAAGTAGAATATTGAAATGATAAAAGATATGAAATAAATCACAGTTCTTTTGAAAAGCTTTTAAAGTTATATTGTTGTATCTTTAGAGGTTGGTATTTTAGTTAAATATAACTCTTTTAACTCATGGTGGGGTTTTTTTGTTGTTGTTTGTCAGGTCGAACTTACAATGATTTAAATCAGTACCCTGTCTTCCCTTGGGTTATCACGAACTATGAATCAGAGGAGTTGGACCTTACCCTTCCTAGCAACTTCAGGGATTTGTCAAAGGTATTTGTCATCAAATATACCTTTTTTTCTCTTCACTATTTATCCCAGTAGCTTTCAGTCTTGTAATGTTTTCTGCTGTGCTTGATACCTTAATGTTAAATGCACAGCCAGTAACACTGTTCCGTTTCTATGTGTGTATACTGATAATATGGATCAGACTGTGAACAAATGAATTATTGATCTATTCTTACAGCTTCTGATTGTATCAATTTAACAATTGTTAATGGAAGGTGCTCTTAGTTGGAGCATATGCATTACATTTAATTTCAAATTTTTATGAAATTAGGAATGCTGAGGTTGCTAAAGATTAAAAATTAGCCAAACACTTTTCTGTTTTTCTGATGAGAATAGGAAAGTCTGTGATACCACTATATTTTAAGTAATTTAAAATCTGCCCTTATTTCCATAAGTAGAAACTCGTTTTTTTCACTTCCTATGTGTATCCCCTTCAGGTATGCTCAAGTAATGCAGTTGTCCTTTGTCAGACAGATGTCAGTTTTTAACAGCTTTTCCAAACAGCTCCTTTCTGGCAGAATAGCCTAGTTTTTCTGAAGTTCTTTCCCAAAACAAACATAGAAGATGCAGTATTATACAACCTGTTTAAATCTTTATAGAATGTGATTATTCTCTTTCAATCTTTTCCAAGAAAGGAATATTTTATTTTACAAAGTAGAAACATGTCTCATTTTATCTACAAAGACTAGGTGCACTGATCTAAAAGCTGGCTGTTATGGGAAATGATTGGCAGATGAAGCAATATAGGTAATTAGTGGAAAGGTAAAGAACATACTGTAAGTATAGCTTGTTTTTTTACAGAAGTCTTCCATACAAATTGGTAATTTCATAGAAATAAAAATCCTAAAAGTAAGGCAGTTTTTAAAAGTTCCTGTTTTCAGTTTGCAATTGCTTAAACTAAACACAGGTCTGTAAAAATTTCCAGAAAATTAATTTCTTTAGTAGAGATTTAGTATTTTAACCTTAAAAAAGGTACTGTATAGTCATCAAATATATATGCATGTATATATGTGTGTATGTTTGTGTATATTTGAAGAGTATACCGTACCTTTTGTGTGTATGTATATATGTACAAATAAAAATAATGTTTTTAAGTCCAAAGCAGAGATATACTGTGATACTGTCATTGTAACATTTTCTAATAGTGCTATTTAATCTAAGTCATGAACTCTATGCTTTTTCAGAATGTCTGACTGACACAAATCCATATTTATGGGTAAACATACCCAAATTTTATATTTTAACAAATCTTTAAAAGCTAAATAATATCTTAAAATAACTTCTTGTTGTGGAATTTAATAAATGCTTTTGTTAATAATCCCCAGGCCAAAAAATACCTGAAGGTAGTTTACAACTAAAAATACCTATCACCAACCTAGACTACACTTGTGAATTACACTTGGGTGAAAATGGAAAACTTATGAGTAAAAATCAGTTCTGTGTAGCTTGAATTAGTACATAAATTAAATGTATTAATAATTAATAACTTCCTTGATTATGATGGGATTTTTGCAACCTCATTTTCAGTTAACGTTTGTTAAATGACACTTCTGCATTATATCATGTCATTGCTAAAATAATTCAAGAGAATAAAAAGGATTCTCCAGCTGCTATACTTCTGAGGCATCTCCTTTTAATTGTATATTAATTTGTAAACTAGTCAATTCAGTCAGCGCTATAGTCCTAGTCTTTCTTCCTCCACCCTGAAATAGAACTAAGTGCAGGGTAGACGGATTTTTCCTCATTTTAGGTTAGGTGCCACTCTTGCCTCCATTAAGAAATTGAATAGTAAACCTGCCTTTTTCTATGTGTTTTTTTTTTTTTTTTTTTTTTTTCATAAACAGTGACTGGTTATATGGATTTCTCTGTTAATGAAAGTAGTCTTTGAGGATTTCTAAGCACACTTTAAGTTCCGAGGGAATCTTTCCATTCCTGTTGCTGAGAGAGGACGTTACTTAGGGACATTACCAAGTGGACATTACTTAGGTTGTATCTATATCTATACTTAACCTTCTCAATCATATGTTTGAAAACTATGAACTTGATACAGAAAATTATTACAATATTAGATGTTAGTCATACTGTGAAATGAGTAGAAGGGTTTTTATTAATATTATTTAAGCCTGTAACATGATATTCTTGGGTTCTTTTAATCTTTGCCAGGTGACAGAGAATTGCCCCTATTGTTAGGGAATAGTAAATATTTATACATATATGTATGTTTAACATGCATTTTCCCTTATGTTCTATTAAATGTTGTTGATCAGACAGTGCTTCTTGATTTCTAAAAATGTAACTGTTGTTCTGGATGAGTGCCAGTCCTTCCCATATACATGATTAAAGTCTTTATGCCATACCTGTTTCAGATACAGCAGTTTTGGCTACAGTTCAAGTTTTGGCTACTGTTTAGGCATTTCTAGCAGTATCAACTCTGTGTAGTTTAGATGTTAAACTTTGTGTGAGATGATGAATTCATGGCAAATACCTGAAAAACCTTGCTAATGTTCAACTATGAAAATGTTTGAATGTCATATGTTTTTGTGATATTTTCATTGTAGTACTGTTATCTTGGGGGTAATGCTTCTAAATAAGTGCTAATTATGTATGGTAGCATGTCTATGCTTTTGCTTTGCTAAAGGTTTTAAAAATATTTGGAGATATTTAACTTTTTACATGGTTTTAACAGTCTTTTAATAGTCTTTTACTTCATTTCTTTTCCTTATCCACATCCAGAAACACATCACAATTTAGTGCTCCTACTGAGTAAAGAAAAGGAAACCTTTGATTTTGGTCTGGCAGAGAGGATGTCAGGTCAATAGTAGCACTTTTTTTGGTAGCTAAGAAAATTAAAAATGTAGATTTTTTTTTTTCTTTTTGTTAGAAATTGTAAGTTAAGGTTAGGTATTACAAAGTGTCAAATATGAATAACAGTTTTGTTAATATATTAGCTAGAAGTCCACAGTTAGTACAGATTTAAAGAATTGCAGTGTATAGGTTAAACCAACACTTTATTTAAGCAGCTTCTTATGGCACTGTTTTGAACATCAGTCACACAATGATAAACCAAAGCAACTGAAATGGATTGTGGTTAATATTACTGTCAGCCTGACGAACGTTCCTGACAAATGCCAGGAGTGCACTGCCAGTCTGTTACCCTGCTTTGACTCGAGTGTTTATTTCTGAAGAGGTGACTATGGTTTGGAATGAGTATTACGTATTGTATTTATAGCTGCATATATTTTATTTATACAACAGAGACAGTTTCCCACCAGAATGGGACCCATTTTCTGCATTACTTATGTTATTCAAAAGCACATTTTTTTTCCTTTATTCAGTGGAAGCAATAAATTGCATTGTGTTTCTGGACTTGGGTAAGGAAAAAAAAGTAAAAATAAATGGAAAATACTGAGATATCAAAGCATGATTTCATACTCTCAAAAGTTTGTTACACGGTTTTGCTGTTGATCTTGTTGCAGGTAGCTGTTGATAATTTTTCTTTCATAAGGCACAAAATTTCTGTAAGATCGTAAACTGATACTACTAGAAGAAGAAAATTATGCCATTCTTAAATCTTCTTTTATCTTCACTATAGCTACATGTGTACATAATAATATTTTAATTCTCATTTTTATTTTCATGTAATATTTCCTAAATAATCATCAATTTTATAGCAGCTGTTATGTATGTCATGACTTCTTTTCCAGTCAAGTGTACAAAAGCAACAAATAGCTCTCACCTTCAGTGAAGTGAGGTGTTTAATTTGGTATGTGGGAGCCAGTGATATCAAACACACTTTGACAGGAGAAAAGTAATAGAGATTTTTTTACTATGAAGAACTGGACTACTTTTGTCGTTCTAATGTAAACTTCACTGTTGACTGTTCTTCAGCATGCCAGCCTGAATTCTGTAGCAGGATGCCTATATCAGGATCTCAAATTCACTGCATATATAACTTGTGCTGTGTATTTTCCCCTGCGAGGAAACAGAGAGGGATGGGCATGAAATTTTCTTAGTTATCTCTTGTTATCCCTTGGCAAAGAGATAGAAAGTATTTTCATGTGTACCTATTGTACTTTTGCAAATGTTTTAAAGAAATTTTTTTGTCTTGAGAGGCATTAAAACTTGTACAGGCATTCTTTGAACCAGTACTTTTCATGTAGGAAATGAAAATTATATTTTATTCAGCTCATGCTCTGACAAAAATCAGTGCAGATTACTACAAGTTAAAACTGATAAACTCACCAGACAGACTCGGTGTCCTTCTAAGCATTAAGCATGTTCTAAAATTGGTCACTAAAAGAAGGTGAGAGGAACAGTGTGAGAACTAACAATAGCAGATGATTACTTATTTTAATAGGCAATTACGTCTGGAATTTAGGCACTGAAACCTATGATGCTTGACACTGCTGAGCTCAGCATCTGTCCTGGTTGCCTTATCACTGGTATTTTGGGCAGTAAATTTGTCATCTGTACCTGTGACAAAACATACCACTTAATTAAAAAAGTGTTGCAAAGCCAGACAGGATAAGCTTGGAAGGAAGGTACAAATATTTTTTCATTCAGGGTGGTTCATGTGAATCTCTGCTTAAAAGAGGACATTATAGGAAATAAAATATTTTAAACTTTGTATCAGAATCCCTGGCAGTTAAGAAAAGGTCCTGTATATTTTCTAGAATTTTGGATCACTTCAGGAAATGGTGGTAGAGATACCAAGACCAGCCCCCATCTACAGTCAGCCTGAAGCAGTGATATCTGAAAAGGAGACATATTTTTCATTTGTTAGTCTGTTATGAATTTTTATATTCTTAGTAGAAAGTATATTTATCAGATTCTCTTCATTATCAGGTAACAAGTTACCAACTTTTCTTTGTGAAATACAACTTGCGTCTTCAAGGAGAGGGACACTCCGTCCTCTCTAAAATTGTATGCGGAATAGGGAACAGTTGAGACAAATTATTACAGAAACTGGTTTATCACCTTGCTTT